GGGAATGGTGGGACCAGCCTCCTCCCCACAGCTTCAGTCCATCACCTTGCAGGGTGGCCTTGAAGGGCCACAGCCTTCAGCAGCCCTCATAATTTCTTTGCAATTAGTACGGTAGCTCATAAAGCATTGCTTTATTGCCTTATAAAGCAACTCTCCTTCACAGCCGTTAGAAGAGCCCAGAGGTTGTATTCAACACTGCTGCTCTCTGCAAGCTCTGTATGGACTGGGTGTCCTCCCCTCTGCACCATCCCCCTGCAGCCAGCTCGGATCATGCCTAGAGCTGGGTAAGGGCTTGAACATATTCCCACTGCAAACGTGACTGTGTGTGATGCCCCTCCACAGCACGTCCTCCCCAGCTCCTCCGTGGGGAGAGCAGAGCGGGTCCAGTGTGGTAACTGGGAGTGCTCTGCTCCCACCTCGGAGCTCACCCATGAACTGTCTGCAGATACTTCAGCTTTCCAAACCGAAGGTCCCAGCCAGCACACTGCAGCCCTGGGGGACCACTGCCCTCGTCTGAGGTCGCTACCCATCACCTAGCTTCTCCCCAGCATGGCTGTCTGCTCACATCTGCCACCAGCATGTTTGCGATGTGCTCCTTACCCTGGTTCTGTCAGCACAGATCCAAAGGAGCTTTTAATAGCAGCTTGTTTGTTAAACCTGGGATATTTTGACAGATCTGTTGCAGAAGATCAAGATCCCACAGAGGAACAAGCAGGCAGGAGCCATCACCCCTTTGCAGCTCCTGCCCACGCCAGAGCTGACACTCCCTAGGAGCCCTTGCCGCTCCCTAGGAGCCCTTGCCTTCAGTCCTGCTTTGCCACCACACTGCAATACAACAATTCTGCAACACACCCAGTCACCCACGGACTCATCAGCCATAGATGAACATGGATTTCTTACACGGAAAATAAGTCCTCTTCTCCAAGGCAGTCACATTTGCAGAGCCAGAGAGGTCACAGACCAGGTGGGAAGCCGTGTGGCTCAGCCCGGTGGCCGTGCCATTGATGGCAGAAGGGGACAGGGACGAGGGAAGTTGCTGCAGGTACCCACGGGCACATGGGAGCTGAGCAAAACGAGCGCTGCTCTTTCAATTACACCTGGGCAAGGCGCAGGTAAAGGACAGCAAAGTCAGCACATCCAGGTCCTCAGGGACACGGGGCTGCTCCCTGAAGAGCAGGGCAGGGGTTTGTACCCACCGACTTCATCCTACAGGGCTCAACCCACCACAAAGGCGGA